CCCATAAATATAAACATGTGGCTCTTCAACCGCATCTGCAGATAATAACTTCAGGGGGCTTCCTGTTTACATGGCAATACCCATTTCCCAGCCAAATAAACTCTGCGACAGAGAGCTGAGGTGTTTATGGGGCCGGTCTCGGCCGGGATTGAGTTAACAGGAAACACCCACTCTCTAAGAAATGTCTGATGATTCAATATTCGGGGGGCAGGGGGCACAAAGGGTCAAAAACACTGGAGAAATTGCTTTCTTCTTCTGCCGGTCGTTTCCAGTGAGAAGCAGAGAGCCCTGATGAACGCAGCCAAGCCAGCCAGTCCTAGCAAAGCCCCACAGCTGTGCTGATCGAGGGCTACATGGCCCATGAAGCGGGGAGGAGGGAGGCAGTGCAGAAGAGAGCGCCAGGAGCCACACTCCTGACACATGCAGACCTCAGAGTGCCATCAGGTGAGGCAGTGAGAGAGGGTGATGGGCATGCCTCCCTGGGAAGTCCCTAGGTATCCTGCCTGACTCTCCTGTTTGAATGAGCAATGTCTTCTCACACTGGTTCTGTACAGAATACCTAAGAAGTTGGAGCCTTTGGCCCAATGGTTCTCAATCGGGGTGATTTTGCACCCCTCTACCCCACCCCACCCCACCCAGGGGACATCTGACAACGTCTGGAGACATTTTTCACCATCAGGACTGGGTAGCTACTCATGGCATATGGCCAGTAGAAGCCAGGGATGCTGCTAAACATCCTTCATTGCACAGAACAGCTCCCTGCACACGTGCCAAAGAATTATCCAGCCTGAATTGTCAATAGCACCAAAGTCTAGCCCAGCACCTTTCCATAAACCAAGAAGCTGAGACCCCCGAGGAGGACAGTGTTGCACCCTAAACCCCACTACCACTGGACAAACCTGGAAAGGCCAAGAGAGCCACCGTGCCCACCTCCCGTGCAATGCCTTTTAAAGTCACACAGATGTTTAACTTACAAGGATAAATAAATATGCATCCTCAAAGAGTTGCAAACAAGTTCCCCGGCCTGAGTTCACCCCAACTGCTTTTAGGATGTCTCCTAAGCTTAGAAATGAGTGGTTGCTAAGCTCTTTTAGAAAACAGAGCCAGAGGTAAGAATGAGCAGATCTGAAAGGCAGCCTCTAATTCATAGCGTGACGTGGGCCCCCAGCCAGTGGTCGTGCTCATAGGTACCGAAGTTTCACTGTCCCTCCCTAGAAGTGTGATAAGCCAAGACACACAGACAGCACAGGCCAGAAAGAAAGCAACCACACTAACCCAGGCCCTCGACCTTCTTGCAGAGGAGGGACTTACCAAACATAAACAGTGGCTCAGAATAAAAGTCTCCAAACTAGTTAAGCTCACTAGCAGAATTTTTCTGAGGCTAGAGCTCCCCAGGCCAAGGTCCGTTTTTACTCATCCTCATCTTTGGTTGACTTTCTTTTTAGGAACCCCAAAGAGATGTGAGGAGGAAAACAGATCGCCCCCTATGGCTGGGCAGCTCTTGTGATTAGTCAAGGGTTCACTGCTGGCCCTATATATGTGCCTGGAGATGAGAGGCATGGAACCATCGAAGCTGCCGTCTTTCCACCCTGACTGGTCCCCCAGTTGGAATAAGGGGCTTTACCCAAGAGTGGGGTGAGCACTCCTTTCTTCAGACAACAGGCTGGTAAGGAAATGAGCGCACTCCTAGATTCTTCACCCACCCATCTCTGTGTCAATCACTCAGTCATGTCTGACTCTGTGACTTTATGGACTATAGCTTGCCAGGCTCCTCTATCCATGGGATTCTTCAGGCAAGAATACTGGAGTGGGTAGCCATTCCCTTCTCCAGGGGATCTTCCCGACCCAGGGGTCGAACCCAGGTCCAAAGCAGAATCCAGCGCTTACCAAGATGCTTTTCCTCTCACCAATAATATAGGATCTCTGCTCTCATCCAGCCCTGGCAAGTCCTATGACCAATAAGTGCCCAGGTGTAGACAGGAGCAAGCGTCAGACAACAGAAGAAGCCGCGGATGAGAAAAAACCCAGTGTACACACATAACAAAACCAAAAAAGCCATTTTATTGAAAATTAAATTCAAACTTCAAATTAATATTACAATCATGAGAAAAATGCCAAATAATTCAATTTACAGTTGCAACATACAATACAAATAGTCCCTCTGAAGTTAAGAGTAAACTCATCCACAATCATGACCTGTGGCACAAAGCAGAATTTGTACAATATGTGCACGAAAGCAAGTTTTGGGCAACAGCGATTGGAAAAAAAATAAAAATTGAAAGCTTGTATTTACACAAAATGCTACAAATATTTTTGTTCCACAGAAATCTAAGAATGGTAAAGCATATCCAAAAAAAAAATGGAATTTTATTCAGAATACCTAAGAAATGACTGTAAGTTATGGTTTTGGCTGATAATATTTCAAAGTACTGCATGAAAAGGCAAACAGTTATTTGTAAACATGAAGTAAACAAACATCTAAAAACTTCTCACATAGAAAACACGTTTCAAAGGCATTATCTTTTTTAAGAACAACAAATTCAAGGTTTCAAAATGTCATCTTTTATTTATTTATTATAGTTCTTTTGAATGTCATAGGTATAATTATTGTTTTTGCTAATGCTTTGTGTTTTCATGTGTTCCCCTAGACTCTGAGTCAGTCGCTTTCCTGGTAATGGAGGGAACTCTTTGAGCCAGTACACCCATCTCCTCCCCTCTGAATCCACAATGAATGGGGCCTAATGGTGTGCAGTTCTCTGCCCACTTTTAAAAGGTCCTGGTGGGGGTAAGACGGCCTGAAGAGTGAACCAGAGCTGTTGAATCTTTGCGTTCTAAGCTGGATGTCATTTCACAAAAAATCTAAAAATCTTTGGTACCTATTCTGGAACTCTGACACAGGTTAAAACAGGTTTTTTATGTTGTTTTGTTCTTTAAAAAAGTGGCCGTACTGGTGACGTTGTAAACCATGTCATTTTAACCTGAAGAAAGCTGGCTAGGTCATGGTTCCATAGTAGCAGAAAGGCTTTGTTTTAATCTTGAAATCACAAATCATGCACGTGATTCAGTGCAAATTAAGGACTTGCTTTTTTTTTTAAAAAAAAAAAAAAGCAAAATTTAACCCCCAGGCTGAAAAAGGGCCAAATTTAATCTAAGAAATGTAAATTGCCCCATTGAAATGGTTAGAGTGAGGAGAGAAGGAAGAAGTGCTTGAATTTTTCCCAAGAAAAAAAAAAGCTTTTAAAGTGTTTCTGGGTTGCTGCCTGCAGCCACTATTACTAACATTTCAACACAAAAGCGTCCCTCAAGTCACTTAGTATGTGTACTGTAAACTTAAAAAAGCCCTTTTAACATTAAACAAGAATGTACAGATATAGTACCTTTTTTATTAAATAGGGTATAGCTGGCACTGGAGATAACATTTTTATGTCAATTAATTAAGATTGAAATGTGTAACCAGACACTGGCTTTTTTAAGTGCTGCTGAAACAAACACACATATTTTACATTTAAAAATAAATGGACGGTGGTGTGCTTCAAGCTACCACACACAAACAATAAATAGTATCCATTACTACTTCCATCTTTAGGAATAGAAAAGTGGCTTATTTATCTAGGCATACTTGGTATACAACCTTTAGAAGGCAAAGTGTCTTGGTTTGGTTTGGTTTGGTGTTCCCCTCGATTTTTCTTAAGGGGAGTCAGGGTGAATTCCCAGGTGAGAAGCACAGGTCCAATGCCCCTTGAGCTATCCTGAGATGCTTGGTGGGTCTATGAAGTGGGCTGGAGGATGACCAGGAAGCAAGGGGCTTCTGGGGGCTGGAGGCAAATCTCTATCAGGTTCTGCCTAGGGCGGGGGTTGGGGGGGCACAGACTTTGAATGAAAGAGCCCTGACCTGTGGGGGAGGCAGGTGGGGATCTGCCTGGTGGTGTCATGACAGGGTCCTGGCTTGGATTAAGGACCAGGAGAGCTCAGAGTGCATCTGACAGGAGGCCTTCAGCTCAGGTTCACACACAGTAGTAGACACCAGATTCCACCTAGCCTTGCCTTCCCGACACCCTCCACGGTGAAATACAACGAGTATCAGAGGCTGTGTGTTCTCAGATCAGCTGCCTGTTGGAACTTGCCTGCTCCTTCAGATGACCCTGCTCCCAGAAGACAGTGACTTAATTCTGCTTCTTTAAATGCAAATTCTGTGGAGAGCTGCCAGTGGGGCCCAGGCTAAGGCAGATTTGGGTTCCCCTGACTTACTGTCTGGGTAAGGCAGGTTGGGTAAGGCTCCCTGGCACAGTTCTATTCTCCTGTACCTTGAGTATCGTGAGTGTGTGGCTTTAAGCTGACTGCATCTTCAGCATGAAGCCTGGCAATTTTGAGTTTTGCTTTAACTATGAAACCACAGAATGCCATTCTGCAGTTCAAGGATTCACTTGTGCTTGTCTTTTAATATGACGAGAGTCATCACTATTTCAAAGAAATTAGGAAACCACATCACTCCAGCATTTTATGCTGATAAAGGACTCAGGGTTGCTTTTTAAATCTCTAATTATTGCTATTTTTTTTTTAAAGGCAAAGCTGTGTTAGAGGCAATCAAAGATCTGAAAAGAATGAAATATATCAATTCCTTCATACATCACAAAAACAAGCTACATCTAAAATATTTGGAGATGGAAGTATTTTTAAAAAATCACATTGTGCCTGGATGAACTGAAATTGCTTAGCAATATTTCAGATATGGCTCTAGCCCACTGAAGAAATTTGTTATTTAATAAAGAGCACTTTTAGAGACCGAAGTCAACATATCAATACACTAAGAAATGTTTCAAGGGTCCAAATGTCATTAAATAATTATAAATATATCTTTAAAGTTATATGACCATTCACGTTAGCAAGTTACCTCAGATTTTACACATATTCATAATTTAAAAAAAAAAGAAGACAAATAACACACAGCCAAACGCAAACACTATCTCTACCGTTATGGCTATAATAAGGTATTGCCATTTTCAGTTTTGCATAAAAGGAGAAGGAGTGGGTTGGAGGGGGCACGTGGTTCGGTATCGGATTTCCTTTTGGTTCAATGGGAAAAGGAAAAAAGAAGTATGAAAAAGTAAAATAAAATAATCTATCCTGATCAGTATTGTTTTTGAAGTCACTTTCTTAAAGTAGGAAAAAATAATAATAATAAAAACAACTGAACCAAACAGTTCAAATGAGTACTTGCAGAAAGTATGAAAGCAAAAGTTTGGAACAGTTGCTCTGAGTGGATGGCAGGGGAGTGGAAGCATTCCTTTCTGCCTCTCTTCCCTTCGCGGGCACCTGGACCGGCTTTGTAAGCAGGTCTGCCCAGGGCACAGGTCCACGTGTTGCAATGCCGTGAACCGTGAGGACATGTGGTTTCAAAACACAGGGAGGAAGCGGCTTTGCTCTTCCTCCCGGACTTGGAGTCCACCTCTCTGAACTGGCATCTGAACAGATGATTGAGGATAAGAGACCCAACAACAACAGCAAACAAAAAATACCTTTTTTTTTTTTTCCCTTTGTTTGTTTGCAAAGGTACATGTTTAAATAGAAAACGATCTGAAACTGGTTAGGGCTGTCTCTCTCTTGGGCCTTTTGCTTTACAAGATTTACCCTCTTAGGGTTGCAAGATCGTGACAGAGTGACTGAATGCAAAAAAAACAAAAAGAAGAAAAGAAAATTTTCTAAAAAAACAGGCACTTTGTAGATAGCGAGTTGATATACATATATATGCACTCTCTATATATGTATATGTCGATACACTGGGGATGTGGCTCCCCACCGAGGCCACTGGGGCCACTGCTGAGGAAGTTTCAATAGGGTCGCCAGACAGATTCATCCATTCTGCCACTAGAATTCAAAACGGTGGGGGAACTGCTGTGGCTTCCGTCGGCATCAACGCCATCGTTCTGGGTGGGCAGGTTTGGGTTTAATAGCGTGCTGCCATTCGAGGTGGTGGTGCACGGCGGTAGCATTCTGGAAGGAGACCGATCTCCCCCGGGCACCATGGGGAACTGATAGGATCCTGACGAGGTGCCATAGTAGAGATATGGCGTGCTGCTGGTCTGGAAGGGTCCGCTCTGGCTTTGGGAGGAGCCGGGGTAGGGTGGTGGCAGGTAGGTGTGGTAGTGGGTGGTGGCGGACATACCGAGGGACATGCCTGAGGTGACTGGCGGGGTGTAAGTAAAGGTGGCTGGATAGTGCATTCGTGGGTTGGAGAAGCGGCTCTCAGTGAGGGATGAAATGCTTGGGAACTGCCTGGGGTCTGAAAAAGGGCCCAGTTCTGAAGCACCTAAAAATTACAACAGAAGATGGGGGGGAAACATCTGTAAATATCAGTCAAAATCATGAAAGAATTTTTTTCTTTTACAAGGAAAAAAAAAAAAGAAAGAAAACTTTAGCTTTTCCCCAATGGACCAGCAAGCCACAAACAGACTTTCAAATGCACCAGTCACTACACAGTCTTTGGGTTTTTTGTTTTTTTTTCTTTTTTCACTTTACAGTCTTTTAGCCTCAAGTTCTTCACACACACCCCACCCCCCACCGCCCCAGAGAATCCCAAAGGGCTTTAAAAAACCCAAATATGTGCTAGGTTGTGCATATAAACCCCATACTCCGCGAGACAGATTTCACTCACCAGACTTTTAGACTGAATCCTCATTGATTTTTTTTCTCCTCCCTTCCTGTTTCTTGGGGCACCTCAGATATTTGGAAGTGACCTTCATACTAAGTCTGACACATTTCTTTTTCTCACCCAATATAAAGAAATTCAAAAATGATCTGTTTTGGTATTGATACTCTTGTAGGGCCCTTTCATCAATGAAGGAATATCAAAAAGATACCCTAACATGGGTCTATCACTTGAACTTGTAAAATAATGTAAAATCCTTATCTTAGTAACCAATTTATATATTTTTTCCTCATCTTAGTAACTGATTTCAAAAAGAAAATCAAACTAGAGTTTAGTGTTTTCTGGAACTAGCTTATGTATCTGGGGTCATATAGGGAGAGTCTGACCCTTAGAAATTCTGCTGAGGGTCATAAGCTAGTAGGATTGAAAGTGGGTGGCACTTAGTAATCACTGCACTTCAAGTCTTGATGGGAGAAGCAAGACTTGATTAAGGCCACTTGCCAACAGCAGCTTTGGGGAAAAGCTCCCTGGAAAAGGAGAAAGAACAGGAGGGCATCTCACCATCCACCTACCGGGCCCATATACCACATCCTACAGAATTAGCTGCAGGCCAGTTTGAACCGGGAGCCTGAAGCAAAGACTGTTTTCCCCTAAAACATGAGGTCCTTTAACTTCTAAAACTAACAGGATGCCTCCTAAATGGGTATTTCTGGCGCTCAACTTATGAAATCATAGTTAGAAACCACTTCATGTGGAAATTAGTTTTCGGAAATGCCAAAAACTTATAGCTGTGATCTTTAAAGACTGGGTTATGAATTTCTAACACTGACAGAATTGTGACAAGCCCTTCGATAATACCAATGTTCTTAAAGATTTTGTTCACACCTGAACTCTTCCCGTCCTTTGGATCTCATATATTTGCTTTTCCTACCACTTTTATCTATAAGGGAAAACACTAGGTATTCTTTTTTTTTTTTTTTTTAATTTTTGGCCACACCATGAGCAGCATGTGGGATTTTAGTTCCCCCATCAGGGATCGAACCTGTGTCCCCTGCACTAGAAGGCAGTGGACCACCTTAACCACTGGACCACCGGTGAAGTCTCACTCAGTAATTCTTGAAGGCCTTAGTGAGCAGGTACTTCTTCAGCTTCCTTTTTATTTAGCCCCTGTTTTCGGATCCTAAAGAATCATCCCAATCCTCTTCTTTCAAGGTGCTGATCGAGAGTTGTTCATTTCTGTTAAAATGCACACTGCCTTGTGTCCTTTGTAAAACGCTTGGGTTAAGCGCCTTGGTGGGCATCGATAACTAGAAGTGACTGCTTCAAAGCAATATGTCGTTAACAGAAGTGTTTCTCACTCAACGGGCAGTCTCAGTCAGACAACCCCACCCAGCCCAACCCGGCAATTGTGAAAAGTCTCACCTGCCTGGCTCTTCTTACTGAGAGTGGAAGGCCAGAGGCAGAAGTCAGAGGTGGCAGTGTCATCATCTGTAAAATGAGGGGATGAGCTCTAAGTTCCCTTCTGGTTCTACCGTTCTGTCACAGTGAATCCCAAGACAGCAGGAGAAGCTACTGCCTTGGGGGAGGGTGGGGGGGAGGCTGGGAAGTTCCCACCCCTCACAGTAAACCTTCCCGGAATCCACAGGCCCCATAAGCAGAGGGGGAAAAGCTGGTGAGCAGCTAGCTTCTAATACCGGAAGCAAACACTTTCAAGATGACAAACCAAATCTCGCACAGTCTGGGCAGTTGCTCTCTGCTTTTGATAAATTCTTCCATCCTCCGCTGGCCTCTCCCTAACCCCTCCCAAGCACGAAATGCTGACAAGTTCAAGTGTGAAAAGGTGCAAGGAGGGACGCGGACAGAATTGCCCACGGGAGCGCAGATGTGATCTGCCATCTCCCTGCCCCGGGCTCCTGTAGTGCCTGACACGATACAGGCCCAGCACGGAGACCACAGATGTTCTCGGCCAGCCCCATTTTCATCGCAGGGCATCTAGGTGAACTTGAGTCGGCAGAGTTAATAGGTGTAGGCAGGCCACTTCTGTACGCATTAAGTTCAACACTCAGCTCGTGTGAGAGAAACCAGAATAACGTGAGCAATTTCAAAAGGAAAGAAGTCACACTTAAAACAGCAGCGTTTGCTCCACAGAAGCACAGAGCTCACACAGATAGGCTCATCAATGTAAAAAATGCTTCTCGTATTTATACTTAAAATATCCTGTCCTTATAATTAAAATTCCATGTGGTTTCCCTTATTTTAATGCAGAAGCCCTATTAAAACCCTTTATGTGGGACCCTGCCAGTAAACTCCAATGTGGCTTTGAATTTATCTCTCCACCCCCTACCCCCAACTTCTTGATTTTACCTGATATATTAGGCTGATGTTTTTATTATCCATCACATGCCGGGATCACTGTACCTTTTGGGTTTAGAGATGCCAGCTAATGCAAATTGACATTCATTTTTCAGTTAATGAGCTCTGGTTGTGGTTTATAGAAAACAATGCAACAGATTTCCGCTAGGTTTATAGAATTTTCACCAATGGCTTCCAGTCACTTAAGACTGTCAGGTCTTGAGGATTTAACTCCTTCTGAGCAAAGAGAGCTGATGTGGACTTTAAAGGGATTATACAGCCATTTTTACAACTTACAAAAAAGATGATTCTCTAAAACTTGCTTAGTCATTTTGTGTCACACTGCAATGTGTTCTGCTGGAAGAAATTTTAACGACTTGTTGCAGTTTCACGTGAGATCGCTCATAATAACCAATCAGTGGTGGGGAGATTGAAAAAATCCTCAACTTAAAAACAAAGAACTTAAACTCCTTCCTAACTTTCAATTATTTTTTATAATAATTATTATAGAAGCAAACGATATAACTAAATTTTCTTTCTATACTTCTAATCTCTTTTCTGTACAAGAACTCAGTTTTTCTTTCAGACCATCTTCTCAGGTTGTTTTGATCCTTGTGTCCTAAACTATTCATACCCACATCACCAACCACAATACATACAACTACAAACCATCTACAGACCTAGATAGTATATCAACTAAAGAAAATGTAATATCTATTTATTAAAAGGATGAGGATGAACGCCTGGAGAGTTCTCTTACCCCAATCTAGTTTTAGAAATGTAAAGCCAAAGCTCAGTAACTGGCCCGGTGATCTGCCTTGTAGCCTGAGAGCTCCCCAGAGCTGGTTTAAAACTCCAGATCACAACCTACAGATTAAATAAAGGCAGTACTGCCAGGAGTTACTTGAAGCCCAAGATAAATATGGTACATCTTCCCGATAGGCTGGCTTTACTCAGTGTGGAGACAAGCGGATGCTGTACAGTAAACACAAATATGATATGGACTAGCATGCAACACTTGGGTGAATTTTCAGGCAAACGAAAAAATGATTTCAACAAAATTTTCCATTTGTAAAGCTTCAGAACACTTAGATGAATTTTTAGACAAAACTGATCTCAACAAAATTTTGCACTTGGGAGGCTTTAGACTATGCCCCCCAGGTTCCCTAAAGTACCCATTTATCCTCCTCTGCTGGTTTGGGGTATTCTGATGACAAAAACCCAAACCCCTCTTTTACTGTCTAGATAATCCTAATCTAACCCACTGACAAATAGGGAAGCTAAACAGAGAAGGGGAACCATTTATTCTACAAAATCACCCAGCTCCAGAGAGGCTGAACCATGGTTAAACAAGACCTCTCAGACTTCTAAACTCTCTTCAATCTTAGTCACCCTTAAGGAATTTGGTTGACACAATCACAGATATATATATATATATATATATATATCTGCTGCCTTAAAAGTTCTATATGCTGAAATAAATTTGCTTAAAAATATTTAAGCAGGTTCTTTTGGTGACCATGTGTTGCCCCCAAAGAGAGTTACTGTCCTTGGGAGACTATTCAAAAACTCTTTCAGCACTTGCTGACTTAATTTGCTAAATAGTGAGCAGTTAATTCAGTTATTCATGGTGTAACCTGAGTGAGACCAAGGTCAAGGGCTTGATTCCCTTAGGACCTGCTGGTTCCCTACAGTTGCATTTCATTCCAGAATGACCCTTTGCACCCCCTGCCAAAGTCAGAGAGCTGCAGATTTCTGTCCTTATCAGAAAGAGAGCTGCAGGAAACTTGCTCATTGAAACAGCAGCAGCAGCAGTTTTTCACAATCTAATATACCTGGGGAATAATATACTGATAAAATTCCCATGAAGCTCCAATAAAAATAAAATCAAAGTTAAAAGTAAAAATTTCTTAGGAATTCCCTAGTGGTGCAGTGGTTAAGAATCCACCAGTCGGGGAACTAAGATCCCTCATGCTCTGGGACAACTAAACCCTCATGCTAGACCAGAGAAAGCCCACGCACCCCAACGAAGCCAGTGCAGCCAAAAGGAAAGAAAAGGAAGCACTGATTATTCTTCAGTGAATGCGAAGTCTAATCATTGTGAAAACCATTTTTTAAAAAGTAAAAATTTCATGCCCCTCCCCTCCAAAGTCTATGGGGAAAAAGGAAATAGCCTCCTTTTACTCAACCAGGTCTCTTGGGTCTTCTGAGCAAGTGGAAAGTGCGGTGGGGAAGGAGTGAAACCAAGATATGGGAGAATAAAAGAGAAACTCTGATCTCTGGTTCCTGTGGCCTGCAAACCTCCACTC